CCTACAAAATCGATTGGAGGATATTTTTGTTTTAACAAAGTTACATGGTACCGTTCTGCACAATATGCTAGCCATGTTACTCTACCTCTTGGGAAATTTGTTTTATTGTACTTAGAAGGACAGGGCTCCTCCCTATTCTTGAGATTTTAGCTTTAAGCCTATATTCTAAGGCTTTCTATTACACTTCACATATTCTGGTAAGGGGAATATTCTAATTATCCCACATTAAATGATTCCTAGCCTCTCTGCAAAACCTGAGGATGGCTCCTCTGCGAGCTAAGAAATACGCAGCCAGGTGATTCCCATGTGGCCTTGGGAAGCGGGTTGTATGAGTGGACAGGAGATGTTGTGGTGGAAGTTATCAGCCAGTGTTAAGACAGTCTGATAACTGGCATGTGAGTTTTTAGGTTTACCAAAAGGAAACACTGAGCATAATGTCAAATACATGTGAAACGTTGAGGCTAACACGGAGGGAGGAGCTCCTGGGATTCTGCGCAGTGTTGTTTGTGCAGGGTTGGTTCCTTCTCAGGTAAAGCAGATAGTGGTCCAGAAAGAAACGACGTGCAGGGATCATCTGCCATTGCAGACATTTGTTGGTGTGATCTAGATGTCCACTTGAGCTATTTCTAGAACATGAGTAATTGAAAAGCTTTCTCTTTCTGAGTCAAAATAACTTTGTTATCCATCTTTGCTACATATGGCCATGGATCATTTCCAAGACCCTGGATTTAATGTCAGCTAGACCAACTGATTATAAAGTTGTGTTTCATTCTGTGAATGTTTAATTTTTTTCTGGAAGTTTTCATATGGTTGGATTTTGATGCCACCATTTCTGGATATGGATAGATGTTTCCTAGAATTTTAAAGAATGATGAGGGATATGTAAGATGGTGATGGCTTACATGGGTATGAATGCTAAGGCAATTTGAAAATCCGTGGAATACTGCCAGCGGTGACACTATCAAACGAAGACCAGCCTTAATGCTCTCCAAACCTTGGCTTATTTTCTCACATGGCAAAAGGACCATTGGCCCCAGCTTCTGCCATCCATTTTTTGAACAGAGAATTCTTATCTGCAATAAAACATATGCCAAAGCTTGGAACCATTGACAGGGCTCACGATCAGCTGCCTCACTCCGTCCAGCTCTCTCATGCAGACTGTTGACAGTCTGATGTCTGTACTGCACCAAGAACCAAGACCATGTCCAGCTTTGGCCAATGTATTTATAGAGAGTGTTTTTTTATCTGTTACTTTTTGCTGGGGAAAGTATATTGCCACCCGCCCCCCTCCATCCCATGTACTGTTTCTGGCAGAAATGCAATTGAACATTGCATCTGAACATTGCATCTGAACATTGCAACTTCCCTCCTTCTCCAAGTTATTCTTGCCATGTTCACTGAGTATGGACACACAACAAAACGTATCTTGCCAAATGAATGTTGCTAAGATGACAATGGTGTGGATGGAAGTGACGGTGATAAAATTTCTCAGATCCCCACGTGCATCAAGTACTAACTGGCATATGACAGTTGTAAAGCTAGCCAGTGACGGCACATTTTCAGTACATCACAGGAAGGTTTGTTAACAGAGCACCAGTGCCCTGGTTGTGTTATCACTTTGTGCCTTTGATCTGCCGGCATGCGTATTTCTCTTTTTATGTCATAGTTAAGAAAGAATCAGACAGGTTTTCAAGTAGGGCTGTGTTCGTTGACCTGAATGTCGTGGCATGATGTAAGAAAACCTTAAGCATGGTGAAAGCTCTGAAAATTATTTCCAGGAGAATGAGGAGTTAAAGCATTTCTGCCTTCTTCAGTTTCTTTTGTTGACATCGAACCCCTTCTCAGTTTAAAAATCATTCTGATTCTTAGGGCTCTGGTTATACATCAAAAGCTTTGGCATCAGTTTTAGCCACAGTTGCAATTCAGTGAAATGTTGATCTAGAAACTAGATTGTGCTACTTTTGAAGTCACTGCAATGGTCAAAGGAGAAAATGTGAGGCCAGGAACACTCATGTGAGATATTATATCCCCTAAAGCCCTAATATGGAAAATTTCTTTTCTTCATTCATTTGAGTTTCTTCCTCCAAAATTGTTTTCAGGAAAGTTTCTCATTTGCATGGTGGCTTAAGAATCTTACAGAACACGTGTGCATTCAGTTGACCAAAAAGTTTAATTAAAATGTGGAACTCCTAGTTGACTATTTCTTATAAATCCCTTGAAGGATTTAAATGCCTTTGAGACATTAAATGCATGTGAAAATTTCCCATTAGTATCCTTGTCACCTTGGGGGAAATGTCAGTCTTGCTAAGGATCTTAGTTTGTACACTATATTAATGCATGTTGATCTACTTTCTGAAGGGATTACATTCCAACTTCTTTTTTGGTTTTGTTTTTGCTCTCTTTTAAACTCAATTTTGCATGCTGCACAATTGAAACAAAATTGTAACAGATTCAGTGCTGTGGGAATAGCTTTATTTTGATTTATAAGGTTTCTGTACTGTTTATATGCCTTGTGTGCGATAAAGAACAGTCATGACCATCACCGTGATGTAAAAGGCTTTCAGTTGTATAAGCACACAAGAGTGAGAGAACAGTGTGAGAAACTTCTCAGTCGTTGGAATCAATATATCTTGATGATGTTAGCTCATCTTCAAGTTCCTTTGCTGATTTGGGGGAAGATTAGTCATCTGCATGGGAATTTTTAGTACAAGTAGTGAGAGAAAAGTAACTAATGTGGTTGAATCGTCATGTTACATAGTCCTTGGACTGTAACTTTTTCCTTTCCCTACACATCTCCATGGGCGTTAATACATGTGACACATTTGTTCACACAGACACAACTGAGACATTTCTATCTAAAAGCATAGTTGGTGTTTTTTATCATGCCACTCCATTGTCACCGTCTTTCTCATCCCCACGGTACTGGCTGCTAAAGAAGAAATAACATACATATAATGTGACGCGGTCATTGTTTTAGTCCTTTTCTTCTTTGTAGATGCTAGGCAGCACTGATGATCAAGCACCGATGGCATTTTGTTACGGTAACATGTCCACTTCAAATCAGATAAAATCGTAGGTGAATTTATTTGTCATTTGGTTACTTTGCAACAACTGAGGTTTGTTCAGGGTGTTTAATAGTGATAAGCGGTTGGAGGAACTCATCTGTTCATGGTGTTGGTTCTTGGGGAAATGGGAGGAGTTAGAGGAGATCAGGATTGAATGACAGCGGAGGAGACAGGTTAGTTTGGCAAACAGAAAGCTGGAGTACAGCTGATTTCCTCGCATGAGAGTCTTCGCAAAGAGAACAATTTTAATCAGTTACAAAAATATTTGTGATCCATATGTTCCTCGCTGTTCATGCCCATATGCCCATCTGCTCTTTTATCTTGGTAGATGATGACTTTATGATTCAGGCGTGCAAGAATAATACCTCTCTGACTTTAGAGCCCAGTGCTATTTCAAAAAGTGTTCTGGTAATTACGCATATATGCTTGCCCAGGCTGTTCCCGCTCTGAGTGACTTACATGAATATCAGTTTGTTCTTTCTGCATGGGAGGAATTATATCTTGCATCCTCCTACTGAAGCTGGATTCACACATTAGAACTTAGATTTGGAAAACAGCATTGCCATTTACCTGCTAGCTGAAATGCCACTTTTCAAACATAAGGGTCGGAAAAGCAGGCAAGAGCGCTGCAAGGATCGTTGGTAACTTACGGGAAAAGGATTACAGAATCTGAAAGGGCTCAGTGATTCCATCCATCACCAATGTTTATTCTAAGACATGTTCGATAATGAACTTGTTAGCTAAAGGGATCCAAATTTTAACACCTGATGATTTGTAGTTGATAGCCAGTGTGTTGCAGTAGACCTGAGCCGGTTAGTGTTTTTGTTCTAAATGCTTGTTTGCTCATCTTGTAATAGCTATATAATTTCTAACAGCAGTAGAAACATGTTTTAATATAAAATTCTGTGTTTTAATGAAGCATGAATAAACCTAGACATTATTGACTGAGCAAGTAATTGTGCCTTCAACAATATTTTTTGTCTCAACAAATGGCTTTGTAACCCAACATCGTCGTTAATACAGTCAAAGTAAAATCCTTTCGGGAACCAACTGCCCTCACTTAAACTTGCAAAGAAGGGATGGCAGGGAGAAGGAAGAAAGGGTTTCTAATTTGCGGGTTAAAGAACTGAGATGCATTTAATTTCCAGAGACAGATACGCGATGGAAGAGATATGCGTGCTGGTGGACTTTTTAGCCTGGCACCAATGTAGTCGCAGCAAAAGGAAGAAGATCCAACTTGGTGTTGGCAAATGCTTCTGGAAGCCCACCTCCGTGTTTGCATTGAGTCTGTCTTTGCTGCTGTTGTGGTAGGAGTTGGTGAGACAAAGAAAATGCGCATTCCATTGTGGATTGTTTCCAACAGGCTGTGAGATTGGAGATCTGTTGAGTCTCCCTGACAGTGTTTCCTTGCTGTCAAATGGAATGCCCTGCTGGCAGCGGCAGCCCTGCTGGGAAGAGAGAGGCGTGCCTGGACTGTGCTCAGCACACAATGAGAAGGTTAGGGATTTTTCTAAGTTGTAGAAGGAAAGATAAAAAGTATTCTCAGCCAAGACAAAGTGAAAGTTTTCCATTATCCCTTAAAAAAAGAGAAAGAAAAAACTTTTATAGATAATGCCTGATCAAATCAAAACTCTTAAATATGCATGATTAGGGTAACAAAAAGTGATCACAGAAATAGCAATACATTGTATCATGAATCTATCATTAAGACAAAGCCTTTGGTTAAAAAAACAGGCAAGACTTTTGCACATAGGTGATCTCAATTCTCATTGAGGCAAACATACAGCTTGTTTTTTTTTTTTAATACAAAGTGCGAGATTTCACTAAAAAAGGTTAAAATTGGAGTGAGTAATCTTCGGTGCATAATGCAATTGTTAATTTTAGCTCCTTGCGTGGGTGCCTTTCTGACTTGAACAGCCGGCTGTAGCCTTCATTAGGGAAGAGGCAGGCGGCTTGAAACAGGTGGAGTTGGATCAAGCTGTGAACGTGATTGCTGGAAGCTGGTCATTCTGTTAGAAACTCAAGTCTTCTCTATTTACCCTTAGCCTTACCATGCTGGCGGCCGCGACGGTTATTTACTTCTCGTGTTTTTTTCAGGTTGACGATGATGGATCACACGGTGTAAACCAGTCGCGTGGACATGGACATTCCGAACTGCTAGTGGGGACATGGGACTCCAGTTGTCTTGGGTCACTTGCGTGGATTTTCGCGGTGCAGAACGACAGAAGCCGCTAGCACGTCGCCAGGACCGACTGCCAACATTCTGTGTGAGAGGTAAAGGTCCCCGTTGTCTGGCTGTCGTCCCATCTGGTTTTTCGTTCGTAATAATATAGCGGGAGGCAGATTTGCACAGCACAGCTCACGGAGTGTAACTGTCACAGACAGGATCCGTGTGGGGGACACGTTGGGTTTAGAGAGAATCAGAACTCAATGTGTTCGTTACCTTTTAAATCGGATCCCAATCTGTTTTCTACTGAACTACTCGGGGTGGAAAAAAAAAAAAGAAAAATTAGGGCGACAGAAGTGCCCTGTTCTTATCCTCTGCACCATGGTTGAGAAGCAAGCTGTTTGCTTTTGCAAAAGGGAATTTTCTATTTTTATTACCCATTCATACCGAGTGCAGCTGGAATATTAGAAATCTGTCAGGATTCACTGAATCCTGAAACTTAAAAGCTTTGTTCAGTAGTTCCAGAGGCAAACTCCCACCCTCTAGGGAAAGGGCTCCTTCTGCATTCCCAGAATTCCTTCCCAGATGCCTCTGAGCATTTTAAAGACAGCCTTACAGGCCATCTGTTCTGTCATGGTTGATTTTTACCAATTCGCAATAAAAATGGCTGTGAATTAGATTTGTGTGTTGTAGGGTCCAGTTAGAAAGAGAGAACATGAAGTTAGTGAATGGTAATTAAAGACTTTCAGAGCAAGATGCCCAAACGAGGATTTTTGTAATAATAATTACCATTGGAACAACTGGGAAGAAGACAAAATCTGCTGGGGAATTTGGGAAAGGAATGGCTTTTTGAACATTTCTCTTTTCTCTTTTTCTCTTCTTTTCTTCATTTCTTCCTTTATCTCTTCCTTTTTTTTTTCTTTTAATTTTCTTTGTTGCAGCCTAAAAAAAAAGTGAGGGAAGTAAATGCTAAATTATTCATGAGCCTCCTTTGACAGCACATCAGAAGGGAAAGTGTCAGGAGGTTTATGGAGGTAGGGAGAGAAAAAAAAAAAAAGGGTACTCACATGCATTAACTTTGAAAAGCCATTTCCCCAGTCTGGGTAGCAATCTACTGGAGCCTGCAGTGGTGGGTTTGGTTGCAATAGCTTCATTCCAGTTGCCTGCCCAAGACTTCTTCCGCAGGCTCTTGCAAACACTGGCGACTGCCAGGAGCTTAGGAAAGGGGCTTACACTTTTAATAATGGAGCTGTCAGTGGGAAGCCTGGCAACATTGACCCTAAGAGGTTTATTACAAGATTCAGGCCCTAAATTTATACTGGTTTGTGATTACCTCCTTGACTAGTATTTGCCCCCCTGGTCGAGTGGACTGTTTTTCTTGTACCTTGGGAAGGCTGAACCTTGCGAATCCTTGCGAATCTGAGAGATACCGCAGAACATCAGTATTACCTCACAAATCAGAAGTTGGAGAAATACTCTCTTTTTTTTTTTTTTTTTCACCTTGTGTTGGGGGGTGGAGACCAGCAGTTGTGTGGCAGCGTGTGTCTGCATTTCAGATGTGTTTTTGTCCATTTGGATGGCGGGGTGTACCCATAAGTGGATGCGAAGGTGCAGAGGGGGCAACCACGTGCATCTGTTGATTCCATCCTGCTTCATTGTGCTTTTCCATGAAGTTGGCAATCATGAAGTCTCCCATGAATGGTAGCTGGTATTTCCCCTGAGCTGATGTTACTTTCTAATATCTTAACCTTCTAGGGCACAACACCTTGTTCATTTAATTTCCACCTGGGAGGATGTCTGAGCGAGGAGACCTAAATCAGGCGAGAGTGGACGAAGGAGGGATTGAACAGGAGACGGTCGCCCCAGAGAATGGCATTGTGAAATCGGAAAGTCTGGATGAGGAAGAGAAGCTGGAACTGCAGGTGAGTCCTCACCCTGTGGGGTTCTGATTCTTCATTTCTACACTACTGCAAGCCACGTAGATCCTTTTGAGGGGAATTTGGTACCATGATCAGAAATCTACAATGCCAATCCTATCCTTTTCCAGTTTGTAGACATCTCTCACCACCTCCCTCCACCCCCCGCCATGCTCTAAAATGTCTTTTGGGAAAAAAATAAAAAAAGAAACAACTACCCAAGGAGCATGTTTACTTGGTGAATTTCCTCTGAGCCCGTTTCCAGGTCTAAGTGGGGGCTTATCTGGAAATAGTTTTAGGCTGACTTATAAAAAAATGGACTTGCTCTCCAATGGAGAGACAAGATCTTAATTCATTGTAGACCAGGTAAGATGAAAGACGTGAGCCCTGTTTATCTTCACGGACATGTGAGAGTTCAAGTTGTACGGGCAAACAGCATCAGTCCTAATATTGCCAAAGACTGAAAGCCCTGGAGGAGATGGGGGCAAGTTAGAACGACAGCAGGAAGGGAAAATGAATTAGGAGTAAATACTCCGAAAGTGACAACAGAAAAGAAGGTTTTAGCGAGGCAAAACACACTGTACTTACGAATTGGGTGTAGGTGTTGATTTTTCTTTGGATTACAAACACGTTCGCTCTCCTGTACTGTGGTTAGCAAAGGCACATTGCCATAGAAGAGCCATGCAACAGTGTCACTTCCAGTCTAAGTTTTTCCCTGAGCTGCTGTTTGGGGATAGAGCTAACAGTTCCATTGTGAAATGTCTGAAGAAGCTTGGGAAGTCATCTCCAGGGAATATGGCAGGACTCACTTCTGGAGTTTCAACAGTAGGGACTCTCTCTCTCTCCACTCCACTCCCCTGCCATCCTGCCCAAACCTCCCTTGGTTGTTGGCTCCCTGTTCATTTGGCTTCATTTTGTTTCCAACATACAGAGGCGGCTGGCAGCGCAGAACCAAGAGAGGAGAAAATCCAAGGTAAGATTCTTGGTATTCTATATAGACCTGACACCCTGCATCTAAAACTATCTCACACGAGTTCAAAGTATCGCCAACATGTCAGATGGTCTTGCCATAACTTTGTGATAGATCCCAGGTACTGCCTGCTTCATGGGGCTATTTTTCACATTCATCTGTCTTTACCTGTGTGCTTGGGAATTAAAGCATTTAGGGTTCGAGTAGCTATTTGCAAGTGTGTATGTTTGATTCTATTTTGACACGAAGGGCTGTAGCAGGACTTTTTTTCAGTTTGATTTTAGATAAAATTTGTCCTGGGTGTTGATTCCTGCCTTGAAGTAAGGGGGTACTTCTATTGAGCACATATTTTTCAGCTTGTGCAGCATCTTCTCAGATCCCCCTCCACACTGAGTTTTGATGAAACTCAATTCTTTGTCATTTTTGTTTGCTTTTTACGTATATTCTCATGAAAAGACAGCCGCCTATTTTTTGTGTGTTTCCAGCATCCTGGGCACATTTGCTAGGTGTGCCTTTCATTCACCCCCACCCATCCCCATCAACACAGTCACTGTGAGCTGTGCTGACCAGAAGACTGGCAGCTTGGTTTTGTAAATCTGACCCGGGACTGCCACGTGATTGGGCAGTCGTCTGAAGATGTGTTCTGTTTGTTTTCTTGATTGCTTCTCTTTCCCTCTGTTTCTCTCCTGTCCCAGTCAGGAGCTGGAAAAGGGAAACTGACCCGGAGCCTGGCTGTGTGTGAAGAGTCAGCCAGACCAGGAGGAGAAGGACTTCAGGACCAGGTATAACCCTGTCTCTGCCACCAGGGTGCATGCATGGGATCTGCCTTTGTGTGCATGCCTGGTCACCCGGCCTCCAGTGGTGTTTTGGGGGAGTCAACCATAAGTGGAAAATGAAATCATGTTCTGGCTTCATCCCATGTGTATGAGACATTCTAAAGCAGTTTAACAGTTTGTCACCAAGTATTACGTTTGCTTTCTTTCCAGACTCTCTGAAAACTGCCAATGAAAAAGGAATTCAAAAGAATCTAGTTTAAACTAAGTAAAACTAATTAAAACAAAAAAAAAAAAGCACAGCAGTGCTGAATTTCCACAAAGGCTCTCTCAGTAAGACTGAACCAAGTAGAGTCGTAACTATCCCGTCTCCTCCTTCATTGGAGATGTCTTACCTCTCAGCTCCCCCAGATGCATATGTCTATAACAAATGCACCTGCTGGCTTATGGGAAACGTAGGGAATGGTGAATAAGGTACATTGAATTCAGGCGAGATCTTTTCATGGCCTTTGGTGGAGATTTCTCAGCATTGCAAATGTTGTCCAAAGTGAATCTGAACTGATGGTGAATTTAAGCGAATGTTATTAATAGACCGCTGTATATCCTTTCCTCCATTTTTGCTCCTGACAGCAGGATGACCAGGCTTTTAAAAGTTTAAATTGTAACAGAACTCTCCTATGAGATCAGGAGAAACTGCAAATCATAGTTATCATTCTTTGCCTTGTAGGCATCGCATCAGCTTTTATAAACATAGTCTTGCTGCTGAAATTTTGCTTATTATTTTCCCCAGAGGCTGAGAGCAGTCAAGGCAAACATATATACACACACACACACATATATATATATCTGAGGCCAGGGGAGGAAAAATTGACTACGACATTTATTTTTTGCCTTTTTTCTTTTTGCTTTTCTGAGTCCAATTAAATATTCCAAACGCTCTTCATGAATATAGAGAGCATTGACAGCACTTTCTTTAAAAGGACCAAAAATGAATTCCTGATCGAGCTTGTCCTAAGAGTATTTTTTTTTTTTTGGTCTTGTTTCCTCACTCATGTCATGAGGTCCTCTACCGGCTCTCTTTTAGTAGCCGACACTTTGTTTTCTATACATGCTTTTTTATTTGACTGTTTTTTTCAACTTGGGCTCTGAGAAATGTGTGGCTTTTCTTCTGCATTTTCTGTGTGCTTCTATTTGGAATAGAGATTGAAAAGAGGCTATGATATGAGTATCACAGCTTGTATTCTTACGTGTGGATTGGTGGCCTGTAATGGAGTGCACATGATATGTGTTGCTTCTGCAGAATGACAGACCTGGAAAATGCCTCCATTGCCCCCACTCTCCTAATGCAAGGCACAGAAAGACATCCTTTAACATCCTAATCTGCTTTTGGGCACATTTGATAAGGAGGAAAGATGTTTTAAGAGATTAGCTGTACCGTAGTGCCCATCCTGGACCTAAATCTAGTTTCCCTATACAATTGGTGCAGAGAAATAAGATGCAAACGGTGCTTTGTTCCTGCTGGTTCCAAGCTCAGAAACCAAGATCAGCTTTGTAGGAGACAGACAAAGCCTGCAAGCTTCTCTTCCATTAGCTGAAGAGAGCTGGGAACAGGGGGCGGATAAAAAAACACTCACACGTCTAAGCGAATGCTTATGCTACTTTATGTAGAGAATGAAAAAGCAGACCTTGGAGTTTCTGTACAATGCTTTCATTAGGTATCACTGGCACTTATAACATGTGTGGATGGGATCCCAGACATCGCTGGTGGAAACAGAGAGTACGTGGATTGTATTGCTAAACCCAATGTGTATACATTGTTCACAGTATTTGGAAAACTGCCTTCATTTTCCTGTGTGGGAAAATCTCTTGCTACCTGTATTACTTGATCTCAGACCCATACCTGATGGTTCAGTCTGTCCTTCAGTTCAAGGAATTTTGCTCTTCCAATGTTCTACTATTTAACAATCAGTGTATTCCTGCAATTTTGAATCCCTCTTTTATTGTTGTTTGATATAAGCTTATCCTGTACTAATGTATTTATTAAACTTGTATTTTATTATCGAGTCTATCAATAAAAAATATTTAAAAATAACAGATTTGGTTTTTTACCAATTCTATAGCACTTTTGTGTGTTCTTTCAACACCATAACGTGTATTTATGTACAAAATGATTTTTTCAAGGATAGCATCTATCAATACATGGTGTCAGTTTGTACAATTTTTTTTTTGGTTTGTTTTGTGGTGAATATCCCTTAATCTTCAGCCGTCAATTTGTAATAGATTCCCAAGCCCCTGTGATTTTCAATTCAAAGTTATAGAGGCTGAAGGACTCAGTCAGTTCTGATGAAACCATGAGACCCCTTTCATGGTCTGGGTCCATCCAGTTTCCCCTCCCAAACAATGGATGCACCAACTCTCCCCAAACCTCAGCCATGTTTTCCATTCTCAGAGTATACTTAATGGGTAGAAGCAACGCATAACTCTAAAATACGCCTGAAGACGTTTCTGTCCCAAAACATGTGAGAAAAGTTTTTAAAATCGAATTCACTCCATTTTTACATATTTGTTCTGTAGATGTTCATCCTTAGGATAAATGCATGGAAGTCAGAAAACCTATCTGTGATAAATATCGATGATGGGAATGTATTATACTTCTCCAAAGCATTCACATGTCTTCCCAAACAGGGTGTCTTTAGGCCAGGAGTTCATAATGAAGCCCTTCCCAACAAACAAGCTTTCCTTAGGAACATTCTTCTTGTATGCTTGCAAGATTGGCTGGACTTATCAAAAACCAGGGAGAATTTCAGATCAGCCACAGTGGAAACAGGCACGCCAATTAAGTCACATGGAGTGGGGGGGAGCGTTAGTTTAGCCTTGGTTAAAAAAAATAATAAAATAATTATTAGTCACTGAGAACACTTTCCCTGCATCATAAATGGTAATGTCTCTACTGAAAGAGAACTTCCCCCCAGCATGTGATCTCTTACATAAGAACAAGTGGGCTTAATGTTGGGTAATTTGTCAAAGTTTTAATCAGAGCATATTTTCCATAAATCATTTAAGAACATGATTTGGCTTATTCTTCTTTGAAACTGAAAATACTATCAACCAAGTGGCTAATACATGAGAATTTATATAAAAGAAGCTATTTTAGTATAAAATAAATACAAAACATGGATCTGACACTAATACCAGTGGATGAAGCACTAATTCAACAGAATCATTTATTTTGAAGAGAGAGAGTGTTACTAAATAACATTAAATAAACATGCAATTTGTGGAAAATACAATTCTACATCCTACCTTTTCCACAAAGCAAAGTTTATCAGGCCTATATGTTATAAAGATTTCCTAATGGCATCTGTAACTAATGATGACAAAAATCCAAATCTATTCTCCCCATAATTACATAGTTTAGGTTTCCATGATAGTAAAATAAAAATCATCGTTGGCTTGGTTCTAGTCCTCCTTTTGTAAATGAGCTGTCAGTGGCTTTTTTATAATGTTCCATCTATCTGTAATTAGGGATATAATATCTGTTTCTGTATGCCAATTTCTCCTTCTATGGAATTACAGAAAGAACTGCAGAAACCTCTTTTTTTTTTTAATTTCAAGATGTGAGAGAGAGTGACTGTAATATCAGTTTACTTATAAAAAAATTTTTCATAAGTGTTTAAAAATAGAACTGCAGAAAAAAAAGGCTGTGATCTATTGGAGTTTAACTTGGTTACAGTTAATATTCATGAGGCAAAGTTTTAATGCTGGGTTTTTCTCATGACCCCTCATTGACTTCTTAAGTTTAATCCACCCTAAAGAACAATTATTTTTCTGACAGGTTTAATTTTTTTTTTTTTTAGCGTGTAAGAGAAAAAAATCTGCACCTGGCTTTCATTTTCCTGAACTCAGTAACTTCTATGCAAAATGGAAACCAGATAGAAAGGATTAAATCCAGCCTTAAATTATTATATTTTTTTCCCCAACAGGAATCAATTCATTTACAGCTTTCCAGTTTTCCCAGCCTGCAAGAGGAGGATAAACCTAGGAAAGATGACTCTGAAAGAGAGAAGGAAAAGGATAAAAGCAAAGATAAAACCTCGGAAAAACCCAAGATCAGAATGTTATCAAAAGGTGAATATGAGAAATGTCTTTTGAACTCACTCAGTCGGGGCACGCAGGTAGCCGTGCAATGTATCTGAAGTTTCGTATGTACAATCATCTCCCACCTTATATCTGTATCAATGCGTGTATGTGTGAAAAATGTGAACTTGATTTTCACTCTGTTTCTGCTCTCAGTGTTCTTGCAGCTGGAAAGATTACTTCTAGGCTAAGTAGTGTGTGTGTGTGTGTGTGTGTGTGTGTGTGTGTGTGTGTGTAATTTGCATTACAGTCTACTAAACTCCTTGACAAGCCTATACCAAGGATAAATACAAACCTGCCCTTGATTCGTATTGATTAGACGTTTATTTGGTTAAGGAGAGAATAATGAGAGCTGGTTTTATGCCTTCACTTACATACGACCTGAAAAAGCAGAAAATACATGGACAAGTCTTCATCAGTGGGTGATGATGTCACAAGGCACAGACGACCAGTGAGCAATCGACCGTGTATCTGACACCGATGAGATTTTTGTCTCTACGCCCACATGACGTCATGCAACGCAGCACTGAAACATACATGCTTGTGTATCAATAAATAGGTTTTCCCCAGAAAGTTGTTTCTTCAAAGGTCTACAAATCCACAATTGAAACTTTCAAATTGTTGTCATACATATCATTATACAAAACAACACCAAGTTAATACAAAACAGAGAGTGCCATGAGTTAAAAGCTTTATAATCTTTACAATGGTCTCTCTCTCTCTCTCATACACACACACACTCACACACCAAATGCTGAGGGCATCTAATCAGCAGGGAAATGATAATGACAGTTACCACTATTGTCATGCTCTACATATCTGCTTCTATCGGCTATCTCTGTTTCAGAGACTCAGAAAACCGAGGTGTATTGATGCCTGGAATTACGTTGAAAATTAAGCTTTCCACTACATCAGGAATACTTGCAAAACTTGAACATATTTAGTGCCTTGCATGTTTGGTACTGATTTGTATTCAGACTGTGTAGTTACTCTCATTTTGTCTTTGAGGCTGTTTTGTTTACTTCCCCAGTAACAAGAGGGAGGAAGTTTCATAGGATCTCAACTCCTGAGCGACTTTTGTGGGGAGTGCCTGCCACACGTGGCCTGCGCCTTGCTGACATAGATGAGTCAGTGGTCAGTCGTGTGGTCTTGGGCTCCACCTTCCTGCCACTCACTTTCCTCCCAAGAGTCTCGCGTCATATGCGCAGTTAGGCTGTCCCCAGTATGTTCAGCCTCTGAATCGAATTCCATTCTGATGTGATACTGCTAACTTTCTGGTGTTGAAATATACATTCATACCAATCGCTTCTAAAAGTTGCCTGAGCAGAGAAATAGCAAAGGTTGGGTTATTTGCCACCCTTCCCCTTCCCACCATTCCTGACAACTCCATCTTGCTGTGTGTTTCAGATTGCAGCCAGGAATATACGGATTCCACAGGCATAGATTTACATGAATTTCTGATTAGCACATTGAAGAATAATTCCAGGTAAACTGTTAAATGAACTTCTTCCTTCTTGAAAGATGAGAGGTCATTACAATCATGGTTATTACTTTCTTTTTTTTAATTTCTGAAATAACATGTTTTTAATTTACATCATGGCTAAAGGCTAACATTCCACCAAACGGATATTTCAACAAATAAACAGCACAAATTAATCCAAACACGTCTGAGATGATAATAGTCAAATACAGCTTTGTTCCTTATTTTCTTTTGTCCTATTAATGGCCTGCATGTTTTCTTATGGTGATCTTAATACCTACGTTACAACTCACTGATGGTGCTTTCTAGATCACAGAGATTGTGACTAACGGGCCACATAGAGAATGAACATTATTGATATCGATTAAATCAATTATTTGTAATTATTTACATAAATTTGTATTATATACATAAATTTGTATTTATTTACATATCCAACCACAGCCAATACGTCTCACTTTTTGTTCTGGCTTCGTGTGAATTAAAAATGCGGTATGTATTTGAGTCACTTTTTTATACCAACAACTTGCAGGTTAGTGTTAACGCTAAGAGTGCAGCATTCAGATATGACGTGATGTTTGATAGATGAGAGGAGAAATAGCCGAACTTGATTAGAATGAAATAGTGTACAAATGGCCAACCTATTCCAGAGGCAAGTTAGATACCGTCGTGTAGTCACATATTTTGAATGTCTTTGAAGATGAAAACTACACACAACTCCTTCATTGTAACATATGTTTTTTGTGCAGGGACAGAATGATACTTTTGAAAATGGAGCAGGAAATGATTGATTTCATTGGTGACAACAAGTAAGTTCAATTGCAACGCTGCTTAATTTTATTCTGGGTTTTAGTTTTTGTATGTAGGTGAATTACTCTATACAGAAATATTTAGGGATAAATAAACCACTAGTTAATGTCTTCATTTGTTTGTAAGCTAGAGATGTTATTGGACTGAGGAGCCAAATGTCAATGGGAATGGTTGCTTGGTTAAGTTCCTGACAGAAATGGCTGTGAACAGGAGGCCACGCTATGCTAATAGAGATATTGTAATAAGAAGCAACCCTTTCCATTTTTATTATAATTTTCTAATGGGTTCCAGCTGGCTGCAGTCACTTCTGACTGGAAATAACTGTGCTGCTTTCAGTGTAAACCATGTAATGACATGTGTCCAGATAAGCATCTACAGTCACCTGTGAGGTCATGTTATTTGTCCTGTGTCTGGCTCCCTTGATCATGTATTATGGATTAAAATAGAACCCATTGCAACCAGCATATTTCTCAGGCTGGGGAAATGAATAATAGTAAAACAACAACAACAAAATACCTAACTGCCCATTAATCAGTAGAGCTGTAGTAAGTGGAAATTCTGTCAGTAATTCCAAAAACGAAACTGGGTGCCTGGTTGTGAGGAAAGAGACATAGATGCGTGGGTTTATCTGTAAAGCCTATGTGGGCAAGAACTAAAACATGCTTAGTGCACTGGTTCTGGTCCTCTGTTGCAGCAATCATTACAAAAAGTTCCCTCCGATGTCTTCGTATCAGAGGATGCTTCTCCATCGAGTGGCGGCTTACTTTGGGTTGGATCACAATGTGGATCAGACAGGAAAATCGGTTATCATCAACAAGACCAGTAGCACCAGAATGTAAGCCTCATCACTGTAGTTCCTTAGCATTTTCCTTTTCTCTTACACATTCGTTTGTAAGAACACAGTATCAGATTCAAAGTGCATGACATTTAAAATGTGCCGTGTTATTTTATCTCTTGCTCTTATCAGCAGTAGTATGGCATTTATCTGCAGGAGATGATCTGAGCGCCTGGAAAGTTTGCAGAATTCAGACAAGACAAGGGATTTATTCCTCAGACATAGCTCCTGTGTTTCTTTTTGATCTCCTCTCAGTACCCGATGAAACCACATAGGAAACCATGGGAAAGTGGCTGTCAAAACATATTTCAATTTGAAAGTGGACAGTATGAATCCATCATGGCATATACAGGAGAGTCTTCTTTTTTCTTTTCTATGTGCTGGTTTGTAGACATTAGCTGAAACAAAACAAAAACGACTCTGATAACCTGCCTGGAAAACCCAGACCCAATATGGCTTGCTTAGTGGGTGACCTGGCGCAGGTGCTTCAAAATCTGCTCTCTTAGACTGTTTCCTGGCCATAGAGAGTTCAGAGCTAAACCATATTTGAGTTTTAACTCCAAAAGGAAGGTAGATTCTTTTTTTTTTTTTTAAAGATTTATTTTTATTATTTTTTCATTGGAAAGGCGGATATACAGAGAGGAGAGACAGAGAGGAAGATCTTCCATCCGATGATTCACTCCCCAAGTGAGCGCAACGGGTCGATACTATGCCGATCCGAAGCCAGGAGCCTCTTCCGGGTCTCCCACGCGGGTGCAGGATCCCAAAGCTTTGGGCTGTCCTCGACTGCTTTCCCAGGCCACAGGCAGGGAGCTGGAAGGGAAGCGGGGCTGCCGGGATTAGAACCGGCGCCCATATGGGATCCCGGGCATGCAAGGCGAGGACCTTTAACCACTTGCGCCACCGCGCCGGGCCCGAAGGTAGATTCTTTATGTCCCTCAAAAGAGTGTTTGCTCTAGTCTTAATTGCTTTTCATTATCCCAGTAAGTCACCCATAGCATAACATGAATATTCCTTGATTTGAAAACTTGGAGATGTACATCTTGAACTCCTGCATCTTTTGGGTACAGGGTGGATTACTTTTATAGCCAAAGGCAGCTTAGACTCAAAACTGATCCCCATGTAAGCATCTTCTTGGATAATTTCCCTTTCTGCACGATGTTTGGTAAACTGTAACTTCCATGGCCTTTACGAATGCCTTGTTACAGAAAGGAACTTTCATGGTAAGCAGAGAGCTATGGTTGAAATGTATTTTTCCTATCGGCTCAGCAGAGGTCAAGACAAAGTGGAGATGGAGATGAGACTCTGTCTGCTGGAAGAGCAACCTGGACTCAGCTGAGCCAGAGTGAAAGTCAGACAGGGAGAGCTGGGACAGGGCTTAGCTGTTATCTTAGCGTCACAGAGTACTCCATTTCTCCAGCCTTCAAATTACACATATCTGCCGGACAGATGGAAGTGGATAATGTGTAAGGGCCCTTGAAACTTCAGAATCATTGGACCCTGCGGTTGATGGCGGACACATGTTCAAATTCATCATCTTTCCACTTCATCTGATTATTGATGCATGAGATTCTTGTTTTGAACACTATTGGGAATTAAAGGTCACTCTTCTGCAATCCTGTACATTTTCTCTCTCCATCAGCTATTCCTGGTTGTAGTTAGGGCGATCTTGTTGTTCCCATTCTCCATACTGTTGTTTCTTCTGGCTCTCAGGTAACAAACTACAGGGAAACACTGACTGCAAAATAAAAAGAAGCTTCGGTTGGACTTTCTCTAAATATTTTGTGTCACCTAATCTTGGCAAACATGTAAAAAAAAAAAAAACAGTCTGCAGATCAAGCAGATTATGCTTCGAGTAGCAGATGACAGGTTTATTTTCATTAAACATGGATTTTGCAATCATATAACTAAGGATACATATTTGACACCTGATTCCCTATAGACAAGTTCTGGGGAAAAATTAAGCATTGTACCTAAAGGATCTTGGTACACTGTGGATGATAGTGTTAAGATTGTATTGTCTTCTGGGGTAGCATGTCTATCTATTTACAATTTGATTTACTTTTAAACTAATAAATTTAAGCAAAGTAGTTCGGAAGTGCTCATTCTAATAAAGTATGTAAGTATTTCTGAAAGTTTTAATGTCCATCTAGTCTCTAAATTCTATATGATCTGAAATTTCTCAGATACCACGATAGTATATCATTGGCCCTTAAAAACTTTTATTTTGTGGTTGGTGAACATCATGTAAATAGACTTCACTTCTAGAAAAGTCACGGGTTTTCTTTTCTGTGACCATTTTGAAAGTGAACACCTCCTATTGACACCTTCAGGGAGAGTGGCAAGTCAGTAGGAGCAGGGTATGTGCAATCTCTTTTTGAAAGTGAGATCGCTGGAGAGGAAGACAGAGGTTCCGAGTAGTCATAAGTCCTGGTTTTGCATTCCAATTTTCATGAATCAAATCATTCCTCATCCTTAAAGAGACATTACCACAGGTCCTGGACTTCCCAGGCATCTCCTAAAGAATCAAGACATATGCCTATCACGCCCTGCTCTTCAGTTCTAGACACATTTCAGGCCATCTTTCAGCTGAGCAGCTGTTTTAACAAAGGGACACGGAAGTGTTGGTTCAAGTATAATTGATATCTTCCAGAAGAATTGAAGTGGACAAACTGAATGTCATTTTTCCCAATGGTAATTAGTTTCAATTTTCAGGACCTGAAACATTGTAGATAGTTTCAGCACAAAGAGATGGTGTTTTGTTTGAAACTTTGTATTTGGTTTGAAAACTGTGTTGCTATGCTCTTTGGAGTTTCCAATGTAAAATGGAAACATTCTAATCAGGACATTCTATTTATGTTGTAGGTGGTTTGATTTTCCTTCTCTTCTTGAAAATTTCAAGTGTCATAGCCGTGGTAGCTGAGTGATGATCTGTGGCAGTCATGTTGATCTGGAAATAGAGTAGGATTGAAATGTTTCTGTTTAGCTAAAGAAGGAGGTTGAGATGAGAATTCCTCATGTGATCCTGGGTAATTTTAATATTCATCATCTACCTTTTCAGTGAAAACATTTGTGTCCTTGCCCAGGGCAGATACATGAAAATGGGTATTTCAGGTGGTACATTATGTTAAGAGAAACGTACAAAAATATGGCAGCAAATACACAAAAATATAGGCATAAAAATGAACGAGGAGGTTGAAGGGGAGAACAAGCTTCTTCTATTGGCTTTAAATGCATTGGGAAATAAAGTGCTTCTCTGGTAAGGATACATTAATAACTGCAATTGTGTCAGCTAAACACTGCCTGCGAGTTATTCCCCAGAATCCTTCTTTGTTTAAAAAATACGAAGCTTAGAACTTTTATAATTCACTTAAGAATGTTACATTTGCATGGAGAGAAAATGCTTTGGTCACTATGGCCCACTGTGTAAGCACATGGGCACAATGGGGTGCCACTATCTTCCTTAACAACCTTGGCTACAATCCATCTGTTTTGGGAAGAATTTGTTTCAAAGCATAGTTCAGATAGGTAATCAGATAGGTTGAGAATTCCAACTCTTAAATCATTTATCGCCTGATAAGGGACAATGATGGAGTGAAAAGGTTAATTCAGTGAGATTAGCAGGAAAAAAGAAAAAAAGATGTTTCAACATCCTGATATTTTTGCTAGGATTTCTGTAATAATTACTGTTGCAAGATGTGATTTTATTGAGATAGTACATCCATAAGCTTCACGTCTCTCTTCTATTTTATTTCCTTGTCTTTTTCCATAGGGATGAAAAGCAGTGTAGATAGTATTAGTGTAGACGATAAATCTATTCATTGTTTATTGCTTAATGACTGCCACAAGCATTTTCATGTCACATCACAAAAGTGTCAGTGTCTTAAGGGAGGGTATAACAAGATAAGATAGTAAAAATGTAGTTACCAGAGGCTTCAAGTGAATTCATTTTGTGTCTGTGGTGGACTGGTGAATTACCTAATGAAAGCAGGGATGTCAGAACCTGGCAATCTTGTCCTGTAACTGTGCCAGACTTTCCAGACATTCAAAGCATGTCCAACAACATTAACCCACCCCCTAGATACCCAGCCTCAGAATTTGCTCTCTGTGGTTACACAAAAATTGCAAGATGCCCTCTCGGTCATCACTCATCTTATTCTCCATTTGTAGAGACCAGGTGTATAAATTCAGAATATCAGACAGACATTTGAAGACCTGAAAAAAATGTTATACAACTCACGATAGGCTCTCACGAAGGTTCACTCTCTCAAGAATTGTGCAAACATAACATATTCTAGGGGAATATTGCCTGCTGATTGTCTGGTTCTGGTAAGTGTTAAGGAGGAATTTGAGTGAGATGAAGACTTTATAAACGAATGTGGTGAGGACAGAGATACTTGGACCTGAGATATTACTAGAAATAAGTATCTGATATTAGTCACAGTGTTTACTGACACTAACCGGGATATTGTACTGAGATCGTGGTGGTTGTTTCTTACAGCCACCGAATGAAAACACATTTCCAACCCATTGTAAAAGAATTCTACTGATGGAGGGTGGGTAGATGATCCCAAAGCACACTGCTGTCAGAGCTGGAAGGTCAGGATTCTAATCATGACCGTCTGCCCTCACAGGCGAGGATCTTCACAGAGATGTTCTGCTGCCTCGAATGAAATTTGCAGAGACGGTCCTGTCAACCACCAGTGAGAGGCTATGCAAGACTGGGGGACACTCTGCATTAAGTAGCCCTTACAGCTTTAGAACACAGACGTGGACATATTCGCATGATATTTTAGAAAGGTTAATCTAGCTTTGACAAGAGAGAATGTTCATGCAGGAGTGGCTAGGAAAATACATGCAGGAGGGACAGACAAGGTTAGAAGGACTTGCGTGACTATCGCTATCACCATGGCAGCAGGCTGGAGTTAAGGATTTAATCTGGAGAGTAGAAAACTATAATTGTGTTTCTGTGGAAGACAGTCAAGGCCGATGACATTGCT